TAACACCTCCATGTCCACAGTTTCCTTCCTTTATACATTAATGGGTGGTGGCACCTTTCCTTCTCCACCGGATTTCTTTGGGGGAACCCTTTCTATAGGGTGCCTCAATGCACTCTGTTGGAAGCCAATTGTTCAGAATGTTCAATTGTTTTCCTTGAAATGGGGTTCCATTGGGTATTCAGTGACTAATCTAAACAGCGTCCCCACCCCCCGGCAACGCAGATAATAGTGCTTGTAGCTTTTATTCATTGAAATAAGTGGAAGCGTTCTAGTTTTCCCACGATGTAATTGTACAGACGTGCCTGCACAACAATGAAATGCACATATATATTCCAAGAGAAGCATGGGACCCCCTAGTTATTAGGCTCATGAGCCATTCACACAGACCCTACTGCTTCCTCTGTGCATTGTTCAGCAAGCAAATCACACAATAGTCACAAAACAGTTGTAGAGAAAGGAGGAAAATGTAATCTAAAAGCAGATTAGCAGTAAATAGCACCACCTAAGGTATCAGCAGATTCCCTGGCCCCACACTTTCCTACTGGGGTCGCCTGCCTACACTGATGCACAGAATATGATATGATTTTATCATTTTTAAAAAGCTGTTGAATGGGTCTTGCATGTTCTCTGCTGTATATCAGGGACAGCTATAGAAGGCTCTGGAGGAAGAAGTTCAACTCACCATACCAGATCCTAGCTTTGATTTGCAAAGTGCTAAGTTTTTATCGTGATTACTCTGCAGTAGGAATCTTGCTTTGGGGATTTCCTTCATGTTTGTTTCTGGAAGTCTCATTAATTCAGTGTTTCATTCATCAAAATCTGCTTTTATTTCATGTTTTATCCATTGGTAATGATTTTGCTGTGATAGGTTTGGGTGTTTTCCATCTCCCCTTCTTTCCACTCTTCCTTCCTTCCTTCCTTCCTTCCTTCCTTCCTTCCTTCCTTCCTTCCTTCCTTTTTACTAAATTCTACTGTCACTAATGGGAGGAGCTGGCTTCTGCAGCAGAAGATGCCATTTTCCTTCTCCCATAATTCTCCTGGATGTAGTGCATTCTGGGTAAAATAAAATAGAGATTGCAGCCCTCGGTGGGAGCCCCACCTCTCCTGGAATGCCATGAAACAACAGAAAGCCCTGGGAAGAAATATTCAGATTGAATGGGACTCTCACTTAGGCTTTGGCAAATCTGTCAATTTTGGTTTCTCTCAGTTTCTCCATCTTATGTTCAGTTCTTTGCATTTCCAGATCAGTCTGCAATATATAGAGAGCTGGTGAGAACTTTGAAGGGTGGTTAGATAGATCCAGTTCCCATCGCTACCCACATTTCACTGTTCCATTCATCTGAAAAACAAATGAGCATTCCCATTTTGAACAGGTTGCCATTCTTGTGGCAAGTTTGATACCTTTGTGGAATCAGGTCACATGGTGGATTAGCTACAGAGCATAAAGCAGCCTTTCTCAACCTTAGGTTCCCAGATTTTGTTGGACTACCACTCCCATCATCCCTGACTGCTGCCCCTGCTGGCTGTGGAAGATGGGATTTGTAGTCCAACAACATCTGGGAACCCAAGGATGAGAAAGGCTGGTGTAAAGGATAGTCTCTAAACATGGGCATATGAGAAAGTGTGGGAGAGTTTATGGAGTCAGTTATGTAGTCAGAATTATGCGGCACAACATGTAATTAATCACCAGGGTTACTTAAAAAAGACAGGCACCAAGGCTGATTGCAAAAGCTGGACTCCTTCAAATGAGTGTCTGGATGCCATGCTGTGTTGAAATGAAGTCTAAACAGATAGAGCAATCTCTTGGCGAGTAAAATGGGTATATAGGGAAGTGTGCTTTTGAGCAGGGCTGGCCCACCCATGAAGCAAGGTGTACTGGCCTGGCCCAGATAAGGAAGCCTGATAGTTAACTCTTTATTGGCAAGAGAAACACAACAGCTTCTACAGTGCTCTGGATACACATACAAACACACACATGCTTCTGGCCTCTAGGCAGCTGTCCATAGGTCTGGACTCTATGGAGCAGTTGTCACAAAAGTGGGGGCCCTCTCCTCATCTGGCTCATATCCCCTCCTCTGATAGGTTGCATGCTCGCAACCTGAGACTTCTCCTGCATGCAAGTCACTGCTTCTCTTCATATGAGATAACTGGGCATGGCTACTCCAGTTTACTAAACTGATTACAAGCTATGTAATGTCATTAGCACATTCCACAGTGTTGCAAGAATGTATAGATGCAAAGGCTGTACCAGGAATTAGAAGGGATCTAATTTTATTATGATTAACAACTGCTACATTGCAAGCTGTGGCTAAATCCACCACTTATTACTGATTGGATTGATAAAAACATGGGGAATTGGGGTTGTGGGAAAGATTTTGTCTGAAATTAAAGGCACATGTAACCTATTGCTTGTGAATATACTGATAGAAAAGTGGTCACCATTTATTATGTATGTCGATTCAACAAGAACAATGCAGAAAGGCTCAGCTTCCATTTTTTATTTCAGAATATTGAAGGAGAGAAGGTGCAGCATGAAGAGAAAAACCAAACAAAGAAATCATTTTGAAATCGGAATCTTTGCTTATCTCTGATTTTTCTCATTCTGTTTATATCTTGAAATGCACACTAGTTATTGTGTGGTTTGAGTGTCTGTGTGTGCATAAATACATACAGATCTAAAATAAAAATCCTGCCCAAATTGTTTTTATATGCACTGTATTGCTTTAGCCTTTTAACTGCACACCATCATGCCCAAAAAGTGAGTGTCACATGTTTACTTACCTCTGCACACATAAATCTGAAAGCAGGTGGGTACCATATGGGAGACATCCCCTGTGCGCAGTTATTGAAGGTGTTTCAGAAAGGGACTAGTAGCTGCATGGTATCACATCATATTATTTACATCATTGCCCAGCATAGGGACCTGGAGCTTTATAAAATCTGCAATGTAGAAAACTAAAATGAGAGAGAGGGTGATATCCAACATGAGCCATACTCTATGGACATCCTCTGATTGTGACTAACATTGGATGTAACCCATAGAACAGGAACACAGCCATTTTGAACATAAACATCAAGGCTTTTTAGAAACGCTTTACTGAAAGTAAGTCCTTCTGCAGTCAACAAGACTTACTTTACAGTAGGCATACCCAGGGTTGCATTGTAAAGGGAGTTCTTGTTGAAAAATTCAGCCCCTTCAAAAGGGAATTTTCGTCTTGGTACTTGAACACCACCAAAACTCATTACAGCACTGCTTCAAATGCTTAGTTTCCCAAGAAACAAGGAATGCAGATATCTTAATGCACTGGAAGCTTTAGCTCTTTGTGCCACTACCTTCCCATTCACATTCAGAAACATCTTCTTGATGGTGTTGGAGAACGTTTCATTTTTGGGATTGTGCATGTCCATATAATTGTGCATTTCAACACACCACCATAATTATTACCATAGATTATAGGGAGGAACAAGTCTGAGGTCTGGCCAATTTTTAATAAGATGTATTAAATGCAACCTTGAATAGTTCACATACTGTTGCTGGTTCTGCCTTCGGTGCTTTGATTGTTAGCAAATGTTTAATTCTCACTTCATTTTCTGCCTTAATCTTCAGAGTTACAGCAGAAAGGGTAAACAACACACACTTTGCTGTCTCTGCACTCCTGGGACAAATTTTCACAGGTTGCAATTATGCTAAAATAAGCCAGGGGAAGGGTGACTACATTCTCAACTTGCACAAATACCATAGACCTGGAGTCCAGATTTCCTCTGTTAAAAAAAAAGTCATGGATATTTGAGTCCATAGCAAGTCTTGAACTGGTGACCTAAAGGATGTCAGGCAAGGTTTAAGCATGTGCTCTGCCACTCAGCAATACCCTAAGGACGGAACATCAGGGGACCATCTGATAAAGCTTCCTTCCACCAATTGGCTAGAGTGGGTCAGGTGACACTCTCTATCCTCTTTAAAGGCTCCCAAGTCAGACTTGCTCACTCGTCTATGTAGCTACGACATCTGCTCCTGCCTTCAGCCTTTGATTTTCCCTACCTCTGCTTTTGCCTCACCTGACCCTCGCTAGGAGCCAGGTTTTACATTAAACAATATCTCTCAAACTTAGATCTCAGGATTTTGTTGGACTACAACTCCCAGGCCCTGCTAGCTAGGGATGATGGGAGTTGTAGTCTAACAACAGAGGGAGACCCAAGTTTGAGAAACACTGCACTAAGGCATCAGCCAAAATAAACAAGCTAATCTTTTCTTACCAAATACATGTGTGCCTCTTTAACTTTGCTCATTCATCAAGATCATTGTTTGGCTCCTGATCACATGCAGTAACCTATATGTCATAGCCTACAAGTAAAGCTGAGACTATTATGGCACTATGGCCAGAGGCTGTACTTGGTTAATTGAGATTGAAAACCAGCCATACCACCTCCTATTCTCAGGAAAACAGGGACTGCACTTGCTTCTGATGCTTGGATGCTAACCTGTTTAGCAATGGACAAGTTTGTCAGTTTCAATTTCTTCTGCTTTTCATTTTTCCAATCTTAAGTTCAGTTTTCTGATTTGTTGACAATTTATTTAACAAAAGTCAGTGCAACCATTTTATCTGCATTTTCACACAACTTTTCAGACACCTTTCCCTCCCTCCCTCCAAATTTGCCTAACATGCACATTTTTGCAAGCAATTTTCCCCAATACAATGCATGACGTTTGTATATTATTTTCACTACTATATTCATTTTTAAACACACTTTCCCCTTATATATATCTTTGTATACTCTTCTGGGTTGGTGAATTGCATCACAAAATTTGAAATAGTACAAATTTTGGAGGATAACTATGATTTGGTTTGTGTTCAGGAAGTACAAATTAGGTAAATCCATATTAAAATGCAAGCTGAACAAATTTCTCCCCACCCTTACCATCCCTAATCCTGTTGACCTCTTTTAACGTTATGGTTACTATTGCATACTATGTCTCAGCTAGTCCTATTCTCTATGTAGCTTTTTCTCTGAAACATTTTTGTCAAGGAAGTCTGTTCTTATCAGCTTGATATGTGATATGCTCTTGATCTAGGAGCTGCATGTTAAAATGACTGATGGAACAGGGAAATGGCTTTGGAGCTTGTGCTGTCCACAGCTCACATTTCCCTGGGATCTTTTGTTCTTCCCAAACTGGCGTGCTTCCTTGCAGAGGGTTCCTCATTGCAAGAATGCCAAAGACAGAACTGAATTAATGAATTCTGGTCCTTTCCAGCTTTGTGGTTGCTCTAATCAACCAGGCAGAGATGCTTTAAGCAACACCTGGACAGGTAAAAGCTAAAATTCATGGTCAAAGTGATATTTATAAGAGGAAAGGAATAAAGACCAGTTGTCAAATTTTGCTGGTGCTTTTAATCTTCACAAGATACATCTACTCTTAAAAAAGCTGGTTCACACAACTGAGGTACTGGAGCCTGATAAACATACTGGGCATTCTGATGCTCAGGCATGTGCTGTGAGCATCAACATATAATTAGTTGCTATGCACTGATTCAAATTGATTTGACACAGAACAGGCCCAGTTAAACATTCATTGGCCCTTACCTAAGAAATGTGAGCTGCAGATGTCCATCACATGTGTGTAGCAATTTTCAAAGTGGTGAGACCAGTAAAATAGATTTCATGGGATTAGCTGGATCAAGATTACAAGTTTCAACCTTTCAATAATTTTCATCTGCTGAATTATGCTCTGTTAATATAATAGGACACCAAAGGGAAGTCCCCAAACCCTTTCTCATCTTCTCTTTTCATTTATTCCTCTTTTTCCTTCTCTCATTTGACTCAAGGCCAAAATAGATGTGATGTCATTGGCCCATCTGTGTCTGTCCATCCTAGAACTGGACCATAATCGTGTGAAGGAGGGCAATAGGAACAAGTGCACTAGCTCTGCCCCCTTTTAGTCACCATCATCATTGCCCTCCATGAGTTGGAGGCAGGGGGCCCAAATAAAATATTGGGGGGGCAGGTAAGTCCCACCCCAATAATCAATCACAAGGCACACACACTATTTGAATGGTTATGCCCATCAACTTGGGAGCAGCAGCCTTCTCAAATATTTTATGGGGGGCTGAAGGGGCCTCAGCCCCTAGGAGTTGGCTGCTCATGGTTGGAGGGCAACTTTGTGAAGCAGGGAGCCTCCTGTGCTTCTGGTGGCTCTCTGCACATCTGAGAACCCTGCAGAAGTTCATAATGCTTCACAGTTGCCCTCCAACTTGTGGAGGGCAATGTGAATGCAATGGAGAACAGAGCTCATCTCTACTGACCCCCCCCCACCAATGTGATTACTATGAACAGTCCCAGATTGCCTGAAGACAACTAATGAATCGAGATATTCTTAAAGGACAGACTTCCAGAAATACATTCCAAAGATTTCTCAAAAGGTCGAGACAATTTAAACCTCTCCCTTCACACGGAACAAGAAAGATCTACCTCACTTCATTGGGGATTTGAAGACACCTGGAGGTCCACGTGCTGTTTGACTGGAGATTTTAGTGTTAATAATTATCTGTGCTTGCTCAATGAATGCAATAAGTTATTCCTAGTCTTCTCTGCGTCAGCACAAAATAAAGCTCCTGGAGATGACATGTGGATGGTAATTTACTCTACATCTTCCCATGGCCTATTTTCATTGTGTATAATGCAATTCATATGTTTCTATAATTTTACTCTTCCCAGGCAGGAAATGCTATTTCTAAAATAAAAACAACTACACCTAGCAACTTGTCTCTGAAGGTTTCTGTATTTCAGAGGTGGTCATGCTGTGGTTTTTCTCTAAATAAGCTATATGTGTTATACAGCAGCAGCAGTGGCCATGGGGGTGGGGCAGAGCTGCGCTCCTGAAATTAGTGTCACTGAAGCCCTGCCTCATCTTAGTAAGCTGCAATGAATCCAGTGTCAGGAGGGTACCTTGGCAACTCTGCCCCACCACCACAGCCACTACAGTGTATGGGAGAGAAGCTAAACATATGTGGAGACGAGAGGTGCCTTTGCTTCTTCACATAGAATCTTAGAATTACTTTGTCCAGTTCTGGGCACCACAATTTAAGAAGGATGCTGTCAAATTGGAACGTGTGCAAAGGAGGGCACCCAAGATGATCAAGGGTCTGGAAACCAAGCCTTATTAAGGATGCTTGAAGGTGCTGAGTATGTTTAGCTTGGAAGAGAGGAGATATGATAGCCATCTTCAAATATCTCAAAGGCTTTCACATGGAAGATGGAGCAAGCTTGTTTTCTCCTGCTCTGGTGTGTGTGTAGGACTTGAACCAATGGTTTCAAGTTATGGAGATTATGACTAAACATCAGGAAAAACCTTCTGACAGTAAGAGCTGCATGACTGTGAAACGGACTCCCTCAGGAGGTTGTGGACTCTCATTTAGTTGAGATTCCTGCATTGCCCTGGGTTGGACTAGATACAGTATCTGCCCTGTTCACATATAAAATGTATGTGTGTTTGTGTAGGCTAAAACTTAAATTAAAAGGAAGATGCAGGGCAGAGAAGATAAACATTGCCCCTCTCTCCATCTCATCTCAACTAACTCCATTATTTTCGGTCATTTGCTTTAGCCTGGTTCATTTCCGGTGTCAGATCTAGGCTGAAGAAAAGTACCTGCAACCACTGTGAATTAAAGCATTTATGATATTAGTATGTTGAAAATGGCTGTTCTTGGTTGGAGTGATTGGTGCTCTTCCTGCCTGCCTGATTCCTATACTTTCTATGGTCTTTCACGTGTCTCTGACTGGCAATTCCTTTTGCAGATCTTCTCTGCTGCCAATACAGCACCGTCGCCCCATTCAAGAACTGTAGTTAATTAATCATATGCCTTTTAATTGATTGACTGGATAATTATGCAAGTAAATCCATGTATACAGTATTTGTATGTGAGAATAAGAAACCATATCCTAAAGAGGAAAAAGGAGCAAAATTTATTTGGGTGGAATCCAAAGAATTAGGGGAAGGGATCTTGCATGCAAAAATTTATATTGCATGAGAAATGTTCCAGGTTCAATACTTGACATCTCCACGTAGGGCTGGGAATGTCTTCTATCCAACACCCTGCAGAGAAACAGCCCATTACTGTAGATAATACTGGGCTAGAGGGACCAGTGACTTGACCCAGAATAAGGCAGCTTCCTATCTGTCTTGGGCAGAAGCTTGTGGGAGGAGTGCAGTGGTACATCACATACCTGTGATGTCATGCACATGACACATGTCACGCATGTGCCATCAGGAAGAGGTGCATCATCAGGAGGAGGCCTTGCTTAGTGCTGCACAGATTCTATGACTGCAGCTCCTCCCCTCTCATGCTCAGGAGGACCCTGCCTTCGATGCTGCACTGCACTCGGCTTGGTGGTCCAGCTGCCTCACCCCCTCAATATTGGGGGGGGGGGGCTGAGCCCCCTGCTAAGGAATATTGAGGGGGCTGGTAACACCTCTGCCCCCTAGAGCTGGTGTGCTTGCTTCCTATGCTATCCAGTTGATGCCTTTGTCATTAAGAAAGGGATTTTGATTGAGTGGAAGCATCTTCTAACAGAAGAGGAGGGAAGGGGCAATTTATAAATTAATGACCTCATCTCTAAGCGGTGTTACAAAAGATAAAATCAGTTGAAATTAAGCCTAAAATCAGAAACACTTATTTTAAATGCTTGCTGATTTTTATATTTTTTTTAAAAAAGAAGTCTTCACCCAAGGCCTGAAGTTCAACAGGACTGTCTGATTTCAGCTGGCAGGGAGTTCCATAGAATTGTAGTCATGTCTTTTCGTTGTTTCTAGAAATCTAGAAATGTTCCATTCATTTCTAGATCAATGTAGACAACATTTCTGAGAAAGTTATTGAAAGAACAACCCCCATATATCCTGAAAACAGACAACACTTTTCACAGTTGATGTAAATGATAAAGAAAAGAAATGGGGAACCTTTTTGGTGCAGCCCCACTTCCAACACAGAAAGAGAGGCCTCCATCAGATCACATAGCTACAACATACCTGTTGTGTAGGAATTATGATTACTGCGCCATTTTGTGATGAGGATATAACATTGCCAATGGCCCTTGAGCAAAGGCGGAGTTGCCAGTCAAAGGAAAATGAGTCTGTGAACATTTCTCTCTCTCAAACAAATTGAAGTTGATCCAAGAAGGTGTGTTGTGAGAAAGCTAAAGAGGAGGGAGGAATTCTTATGCCTCCGAGCCATGGCAGAGACATGACAGGGATGGGATGCAAAACGCAGTTTGAAATATTTAATAACATCCCTATTGACAAACAGGAAAAGCAGCTTCCTGCTTTGAAATAAAGGTCACAAGTTGTTCACACGGGAGATTAAACAGTAACACAAAAGGCCTGGATAAATTGCAAAAAAGTAAAAAAACCAGAGTAATCTTCTACTGGAGGGTTGCAACAGAAGCATGGGGTGATCATTGGGGTGTGCATTGGTTCTGTGTGCGAGACAAGGGGCGATTTGGTGATGTTTTGGTGAGCATTCAAAGATGGAATTGAGAATTCCAAGATGGAATGCTGCTGTCAACAAGGAATCTCAAGCCAAATCAGAGACCCTCTAAAATCTTGAATTGCTCTGTGGACTTAGCCGAGCCCCAAATGCTGCATTTTGGGACCACCAACCAGATGTTCGTAGAAAGCCCATAAGCAGGACACAAGTACAACAGCACTCTCCGCACTAGAGATTTCCAGCAACTGGTATTCAGAAGCATATTGCCTCTGACGCTGGAGGTATTCTTGTAATTCTTGGCCTGACCTCTGATTTGCTCCCCAGTCCTGCCCTTTGGTTCATCCTCACGACCTCTGGACTTCTTGACTAAATCCCTGTAATAAATAACATAACTACTAAGAAATAAAGTGTGGTGGAGTGGTTAGAGTGTCAGACTAGGATCTGGGAGACCTGGATTCGAATCCCGCTCAACCATGAAGCTCACTGGGTGACCTTGGGCCAGTCACTTTCTTTCAGCCTAAACTATCTCACAGGGTAAGAAGACGGGAAGCACCACCTCTGCCATTTTGAGTCCCTTGAAGGAAATGCGAGATTTAAATGCAATCTAAAATAAAATAAAATAAAATAAAGTAATTCCATAGCATGTCAATCGCAGCATTAGGGATGAGGGAGAAACTTGCTTCAGTTCACATTGGAAGGAGAATCTAC